ACCAAACTTTGCCAAAATTGACGAACTCCGGCCATATTGAAATTCAGGGGCCCGCCTTCACTTAAGGCGGGCTCATGCTTGCTGAAAGGGCCCTACAGGGGCACGCCGAGGAGCTAACTTGTAACAAGGCCTCGTCGAAGTTCCATGCCCACATGGGGGTTCCAACAGGCTCTGCTTGGGCCCCTCGGCCTGGTCTCTTAGCCCTATATACAGGCATTGACACATATTTGCAGGCCCGACTTCACTTAGGGCGGGCACGACACTTTCCGACACTGCCGAGGGACTAAATCCTCGCAAAATGTTCAATATCAGATTGGAAATCCATCCTCTAATGAAGTCCCCCACTTTCCAATACAGTGGAGCCTGAGGGCTTCAACTTCATAGTGGCAGTTGCCTTTGGTGACTTTGGGTAATATATGTTCCATGGTATTTGGGATGGAGGGAGGGTGCCTGCCTGGATGTGCTTAACTAGAGACTTTACAGTTCCGTTATAGTCGGTCCTAGTGAGGGCTATTCGTGCTGCCAGACGGAGTGTTGCAAGTTGGTCATAGGTTCAGAAATGGCATCAAGGAGGGCATTGAAGTACCTAGGAGCATGCCACATCCTTCCAACACCCTCTTTCCTTACCGTAGATTTAATTGAACATTTCAGTCGAAAAGAGGGACACCAAAAAAAAAAAAAAGAAAAAAAAAAGGAGGAAGTAAGGAGGGGGGGAATAAGGAGATCAATAATGTATCAATTACTATCAATTACTATCAATTACTATCAATTACTATCAAGTGCAACGAGTCAATGTAATTACTAGTGATTTGAAGAGATGAGTATTTACTATTTGTTTATTACTAAATTATTAGTGAATTACTAATAACTATCGAGGAGAAACAACTATCCATGAATGTAACAAGGCTCGAAGAGCAGACGCTTCGCATCTGAATCCCGCGCATTGGAACCGAAGGATGCAGATGATTTTCTAGTAGCAATCTCTGGTCCACGATCAGAAGCAGTGAAACTGAGATCTGAATTGGAATCGTTCCTACCCCACACAAGTACTGTGGGCCTTATGGTCCTGGCTCCATGTCCATTCTGGGGAGTGTCAGTCCGGATCCTATTCCCCCGGCAAGTCAAGATTGAATACATCATAGTCCACACCCACGCTTCCTTCCGTCTGGCCGAAGGAACCCTGACCAGCATTGATTACTCTTGTATGGGAGGATTGACTGTCAAATTGCCCTACCCTAGCTTTCCTCTCAGAAACCCTGTTGGTTCTGTCCAATAGGCATTGAAGCACAAGAAAACCGGGAGAGATGTCTATCCGTCTGAGGCTAGAACCTCAATGTGTCCCTCTCGGGGCTACATTCCTTGTCGTTGTTGGAGTGGCCCATTTCTTACAGTGTAATTTATTGTCTGAGACTGTCGTGATCTTCCCCTGTAGCAGCCAGTCTCTCAAGAAGATTCGTCTACTGAGTGCGCGTCTTTCAGGTTTGCCTCTCGTTGCTGTCGATATACTCCTCCATTTGCATCGGATCTCTGTTTCCACCATCCTCAGCAGTAGGATCCACATTTCCTCCTTGGCCACTTCTGAACCCTCGATTGTCTTGGTACATCTCCTTTTCCATATGACCCACAGGGCTAGTTTCCTGATCATGTGGAACCTGAGGCTGTCGGGGATGTTAGATAGAAGTAGGATGTTCAGAGGGGTGAGGTTGGGGGGGGGGGGATGAGAAGAGGTGGGACCATAGATTTCCGACTTTGTTCCATATCCAAGCGGCCTGGCTGCAGTAGAGGAGGCAGTGGGGGATGTCTTCAGGGACATTGTCACCGCACATTACGCATAGTTCCGAGCTGTCGGGGTCCGTGTGTTTTCTTCATTTGTGGAGCCACTGGTTGACAGGGAGTGCTGCATGGGCTAGCAGCCACTGTAAGCCATGTATTCTAGCTGATCTGATGGGGAGGTATTTTGTCCAGGGGATGGATATTGAGGCTGTTGGCTCTAGGATCCGTGACTCTCTCCATCTGTCTTCAAGTTTGTGGTTGGGGTCCGTGGTCAGTAGGCCTAAATTGTACACGAATTTTACGTTGTATTCCAGTATCATTCTAGTTTTTCCGGTTTTGCTTTGTTTCCATATCCATTCCTTAGGATCGAATTCGAGCTTCGCTATGCCGAGGCCAGGCTGGAAGATTATCCATGGTTTGGTTTTTGCTACCCTCACTTTTCACAGTCGGAACGACATCGTCTCTAGCTGAGGTTCTCTGTTGAGGATGGCTAGTTCCTGGAGGTTGTGATTGGTGATGGGATAGGAGTTCCCTCTTCCCGATTCCCCTCCCCGAACATCCTGTCCAACTCCTATGGACTAACATCCCTGCCCAATTTCATAAGTCAGAGAAAATATGGTTTGGAATGATCCGAAAGACGACGCTGTGGTCCATCTGGAAGGAAAGGTGCTGCAGAACTATTGAGGRACTCTCGACTCCAAGGGAGAAGGTATGGGCGGAGACAAAGACCCTGATCCAGGCTGAGATTCTTTGCAAATGGCATAAGACAAGACAATCTATGCCGGATGACGTAGAGCAACAGGAAAAAATCAAGGCAAACTTTACTAAGGTGTGGCTTGCAAGGGGCAAAGTGGCGGAGATAATCGATTCTCGCATAAGGTGGAAGGACTGGCACAATTCAGAAACAGGGAGGAGGAGGCAGAGTTCTCAGTCAGCAGAAGGACCAGCTCTATCACAGGCCACATAATGAGTGGAGCCTGGATTCAGATACTGTAGCTTTCATGGCGTCCTGTTCTTTCTTGTTTTTATTGTTTATACGACAGGCTTAATCAGTAGACCTGAGAGGAAAGAAGAAGGAAAGGCAAGCTGACAGTCAATCCTTCACGCAGGTGGAGTAATCAATGCTGTTCAGGGTTCCTTCGGCCGGACGGAAGGAAGCGTGAGTGGGTTCATGATGTAACATTTTTCTGACTTGCCGGTGGAATAGGAACCGGACTGATGCTTCCCAGAATGGAAATGGAGCCGGGGCCATAAGGACCTGATTTAATTAAAAAAAAATAAAAATAAAAAAAAATTTGGAAAGGTGGCCGGTGGCTGAGTTGCGGGGTACGAACCGGTATGCTCTGTTCGGTGAAGTTTGGGATATGAGTATACACCAGTCCCCTGGTTTCCAGGAGAAGTCTTCTTTCAAGAGGCGGAGCCAATGGGGTGGGATGATCTTTAGGTTGTCTGCGAGAGCGTGACAACCTTTTAGGGTGTTCCGGAGTTCTTGTTCGGTTCCCCATTCCCCCCGTTCTTCTGCCCACAGGTGCTTTACCTGCCACACCCCTTTTTCAACCCATGACAACCATCTTCGGTCCTTCATTCTTAGCGACCAGGGACTACCCTTGGGGTCCTTGATCCAATCGTTGCAAAACAGCGGTTGTCTCAGGGCATCTTCTTTGCTATCCGCTGTGCCATGTTTGCTTGGCATCATACGTCGCCAGGCTTTCAGAGTCGGGATCCAATACGGGTTGGGTGTTGGGGCTGCCTGGTTGTCTGAGTTTCGTGTGGTGCTTCTGCGGGATCTGCCTGATCTTATCGTCCACTCCTTTGCCATGATCCAGACAATGATTTTTTAGCCATCTTTCCAGAAATCTTTCTCATAAATGCCACTATCTTATTACTTATCTATGGAGTGATTTTGAGCACTTCAAAAAGATATGATTATTCACCATTAGTGCGTAATGTGGGATGGTTGGGTTTACTGAGTGTTTTGATGACAATTCTATTGCTGATCAATAATCCAAGTAGCCGTTCATGTTTGGTGGGGAGCTTATCGGTGATAAATTTCTTATGCTGTCTAGAGCCATCTTGGTCCATGGTAGGTATTGTCTGGTCAAGACCTTGATGACCCATTTCACCTGTAGTGCTACTGATTCCTGCTTGGGGTCGATTAGCCCTAGGCCTCCCTCCTGCGGTTTCCTAATGATGTGGCTCCATGCTACCCTGTTGATGCATGAGGTTCGGTTGCGGTCCCCTGTCCATAGATGGCACCTTACTCTAGCCTTTATGGTTTGGAAGTCGACGTCTGAGGGAGACCAGATGGATGTGATGTACCATAGTGTGGAGAAGATAGCTGTGTTTATAATTAGTGCGCTCCTGATCAGCGATGCCTGTGCGCTCATGCAAGGGCCAAGCGAGTTATTGCTTTAGCAATTAAGCTGTGGCCCATTCCCGGTCACACGTCATCCTTGTTGAATTATTTCCTCTATTCTGATTCACATACAGTTTGTATCTTTGTACCCAATCAGTATACATGTACACATACTATACAATACATATTTTACACTTTTTTCTTCTTCTTCGGATATTGTTAGGTACAATACATACGTTATTGTGTACCTCCAAATAAACCTGTTTCACTTCCTTTAGTATTTTTTACTCTGAGGTAGGGGCCACTAGAGCAGCAGGACAGAATTATAAATTTGAGATGGAGGACGGTAGATCAGACACTTGAGTTTGTGCTTCCTGAGTGTCATGCTGCTGGACCATTGCCTGATGCTCCAGAGCAAAGCTGGTCCTTGCAAGAGTTCCGGAAGCCACAACATCGTTAGAGCTTGGGTGAGGGAAACATGAGCCAGTGAATGCGGATGCTAAATGAGACGAGGACATGGAGGCGTTCGGGAGACCTACATGTTCCTCTTCTTCCATGCAGTTGAGGGCTGTTGAAATCCAAGGTGCTTCTCGACTCCATTGCTGGTTCTTCAGTGCGAGAAGGGTGGCCACGGCAATGAATGTGCATGAACATAGCTCTTGCCATCTGTGAGAGAGAGAGAGAGAGAGAGAGAGAGAGAGAGAGAGAGAGAGAGAGAGAGAGAGAGAGAGAGAGAGAGAGAGAGAGAGTCCATTCTAATTTCAAAAAGAAATACCTCATACAGTTCAAAGTTCCAAACAATAAGCGACTTGAGAAGTCGATAGGAAAGACTCCGGGAAGAGTCGAACTTGTCATGCCTGCTTCACATTACCTCCCATGCGAAGTGTTTCCTGAGGGATTGCTCAAGTACAGGCCATGTGGTGACAAACCAGTGGAGAGCTTCAATGCCAACGATCGCTGCCAGCCTCGGGTACAGTATATACCTGCAGAAAATACATAGAGAAGAGTAGACAAACCAAACGAAAAGAATGAACATTCAGAAATGCAAATATACAGGAGAAATGATAGCAAGGCAAAGGAGAGAGATTTTCAATCCATTCAAACCTTTGATGATGTACAGCTATAACTCAAACATGTCCAGAGATTGGGAGGACGGAAAATTATGTCCATGGTACCAGGGAACATAATTAGATATGCAAGCCACAAGCCGATGGGTCCATGGCACTAACAGCAACAAGGAGAGATGAGGAGACCAAAGGGGGAGAGTTATGGTCGAAAACCAAATGAATTGGTAAAACAAACATGTGTTCTTCTTCAGAGGACACACATTACCCGATATCCCAAACACAATTGTCTACACCTTCTCTCTCTCTCTCTTGCAGTTTGCATACGGAATTCACATTCGTTTTTGAACTTGCGCTGTGTGAGTCTGATTACGGGTGTGTGTTGCTACGGCTGCTCAGACTGTTTCGCCGCAGTCTGCCATCTCTCTCTCTCTCTCTCTCTCTCTCTCTCTCTCTCTCTCTCTCTCTCTCTCTCTCTCTCTCTCTCTCTCTC